TCAAGGGATGTTATGTTCAAGGAAATAGTTTACCCCTTCCATCACAACACCCCTCTTGAGTCTTGTACATTTAATATACCAACATGTTTAGAAGACAATGACCCACCAATCCCTGAACATACAATCCCACCTACACATATGCCTAACCCAGACCAAATAGACCAACAGACTACACCTACAACTGACCCAGAAAACCAACAAACCATCCAGATAGACCCTAATCAGACATTACATACAGACCAACCAGTTACACCACTTAGGAGAAGTACAAGAAATTCCAGACCACCAGCTTGGATGATAGATTATGTAACCAATTGTGCAAATTCCAATCACAAACCTTTTTCACACAATTCACCCTATTCACATGCATATGTTTCTTTTGCATCTAATGTCAACAAAATTCATGAGCCAATATCATATCATCATGCTATTTCTAATGAAAATTGGGTGCAAGCAATGCAAACTGAATTGCAGGCTTTGGAAGACAATGGTACATGGGTCTTAACTGAGTTGCCTAAAGGGAAACGAGCCATTGGATGCAAATGGGTCTACAAGGTCAAATACAAACAGGATGGAACTGTAGACAGATATAAAGCTCGCCTGGTTGCTAAAGGGTTCAACCAAAAACTAGGCATTAATTACAATGACAGTTTTTCTCCTGTCACTAAAATGGTGACTGTGAGAATTTTATTTGCCCTAGTTGCTAAATATCAATGGAATCTTCACCAACTCGATATTAACAATGCCTATCTACATGGTTTTCTTGATGAAGACATCTACATGCAACCCCCAGCTAGATATTTTAAAGCTTCTAAAGGCCAAGTATGCAAACTGACTAAATCACTTTACAGACTCAAACAAGCTGGCAGAATGTGGAACCAAGAGTTGACAAATACATTACTCCAGTATGGATTTCAACAATCAACGAATGATCACTACCTATTTACCAAAGGAGAGGACAATGAATTTCTAGCACTTATTGTCTACGTGGATAGCACTTATTGTCTACGTGGATGATATTTTAGTTGTTGGACATGATATTCAACTTATATGCAACATCAAAGAATTTCTCCATTCCAAATTTACTATAAAAGACCTCGGCCATGCAAGATTTTTCTTGGGTATTGACATCCTATGGTCCACTGATGGCATTTACTTATCACAAAGAAAATTCATTCAAGATATGATGTTAGATTCACACATGCAGCACGCCAAACATGCATCCACACCATTAATACAAGGTCAAAAAAATTCATGCAGACATGGGACCATTGCTCACAGAACCAGACTGTTACCGTCGACTAGTGGGGAGACTACTTTACCTGAGCTTTACCAGACCTGACATTACTTACTCAGTTCAACAATTATCTCAAAACATGCACCATCCCTGTCAAGGTCACATGGTCGCCGCTTCTCATGTTCTACGCTACTTAGTCTCCACCATAGATCTGAAATTATTTTTTCCTACCTCTTCTACGCTTGATCTCCAAGCGTACTGTGATGCTGATTGGGGGGCTTGCATCGAGACTCGCCGGTCCCTTACAGGTTACTGGGTTACTGTGTTTTTCTGGGTACCTCGCTCATCTCATGGAAAACAAAAAAACAAACAGTGGTTAGTCGTTCCTCTACCGAAGCAGAATACAGATCTATGGCCAATACAGTGTGCGAAATCATTTGGATTGACAAGATACTCACAGATCAACGAGTAAAAGTGCGAAAGCCCATACCTTTATTCTGCGACAACCAAGCGGCACTGCATATCGCCGCCAACCCAGTTTATCACGAGCGCACCAAGCATATTGATATCGACTGCCATCTCACCCGCCATCACATTCAATCTGGTCTTATTGAAACAAAACATCTCCCTTCCGCGTCCCAACTTGCTGATATTTTCACCAAAATGTTACCCATCTCTCACTTTCGTCTCATGACTGTCAAGTTAGGCTTGGTTTCATTACCACAGCTCCAACTTGAGGGGGGCGTGAACGAACATGAGCCAAACACAAAGCCAAACACAAAGAAAACCCTAAAACTCTAAAACAAAGAAGCTGCCGTTCTAAATCAAAGAAAACCCTAAAACCCAAACACAATATTTTCTATTTATACCAAACCCACATACCATACCCATTTTTACTTAACCCAAACCCATATAATAAACCTTAACCCCCAAACTTAACCCAAACCCATATAATAAACCCAACTAACCCATTAACCCATATAACAAACCCATTTTACAGCTGTAATTCTGTTACATGAGGAAATGTACAATACAATAGGCCCTAGAATTAGAATATACTACACACTTGTAAATATAAATAGAACACAGTGTACAGCTTTCTGTGAGAGAAGAAATATACAAATTCTTCATCTATTTTTTGCGTTTTTGCTTTTCTGTTCAAATCCACATTCCATTGTTTAGGATTTTGGAGGATAAGATGACTCATAGTAGCATTCTCATTTGAAATCGTAGGTCGAGAAAGAATTCTATGTTGATTTGTATCTGCAAGCCGTTTATCCTTCTATATCCTAATAGTTGACCCGTCACCTACAATCCATCGACTTTCCTGTTGGATCACTCTATTATGCATATACGATCTCATGACTTCTGTTGTATGATTTTTTCCATCACTATATATATTCTGTAGTATGATTTTTTCCATCACTATATATATATTTGAAGTAGTACATCTCATCCATGTACTATCTCTTTTTATTTGTAGTACATTTCGTTATTTACATTTCTTGATTGATTGAAATTTTATTTTTAGTTATATTTGAAAATTAAAATCGTATATTTAGATCTATAGAATGCTATTTTACAATTGATATATAATAGAAATGCTTAGTTTATGGTTTGGCTTTGTGTTAGAATTCTATGGAGTTTGTGACAATTTCTATGTTGAAGATTATTCATCATAATCTGCATTGATATTAGTTTGGTTTATGAATGGGACTATAAACTAAGTCTAGATAATTGAATTTCATAATTTATTTTGTAATAGATATTATCCTTACATATTAAACTAGATATTTTTTATTGAATTCTTTTTTATATATTATATAATAACATGTTGAATGTTCCAAGCGAATTATGGTATACAAGATTAGAAATAATTACATTAGACCAAAAATAATGCAAGTAGCAGAAATTAGAGGTAAAATAAGAGGACAGATGGTACAATCATATAGACCCCAAAATATGCCCTATTTCATAAATATAATACTTTGAGAGTAAAGGTGCTAAAAAGTAAGGATATGTAAATGGGCGGTTTGATTGCATACCAAATCGAATCGAACTGCAAAAACTGAAAATCGAAAATAGCTTTTTCTTGAAACCGAAGTAAGTTTAAAAAATAGCTTTTTCTGCTGAAACCGAAGTTAAGTTTAAAATTCAAAAATAAAATTCAAAAAATAAGTGTTTTGTAATAGTTAAGTTTAAAATTCAAAAAATAAGTGTTTTGTAATAATTAAGTTTAAAATTCAAAAAATAAGTATTTTGTAATAACCAATCCAAACACCGAAAAATAATTTCCTCTCCTTTATTATCTATTTCTAAACAAAACGTACAAAATTTCCTAAGGAATATCTTCAAGGATGTTGCCTATAGATATCCAAATCTTTGTTATATCTTGGGAGGATTATTGCTATAACCTCAACAATTAAGTGGGGATAATTAAATCCTTGCCTAATATATCAAAATATTTTGATAACTTGAACTTTGTAAATTTTTGCAATTTCACCCTATCATGATATTTTTGTCAATTTTACCTTAATTCGACTTTCCATAGCAATAATACCTTCATTAGTAATTAAGGACACAATTGCAAATGCAAAAATATTTTTATCTTTTTAAATCATGTGACACTTATAAAATTTAAAAAAAAATCTTGCCTAATATATCAAAATATTTTGGTAATTTGAACTTTGCAAATTTTTTCAATTTCACCCAATTTTGATATTTTTGTCAATTTTACCTTAATTCGACTTTTCGTAGCAATAATACTCTCAATTGTAATTAAGTACTTCTTCAATTGTAATTAAGGATAAAAATTGCAAGATGCAAAATTTTTTGTCTTTCTGTTAATTACTCATGTGACACTTATAGAAATTTAAAAAAATTTCCATCTGTCTATCAAGTTAATGTTGCATAAATTAAAATTGAATTTTTAAATAGAATGTGCTAAACTAATAATTCATAACATACAAATTTATATTACTTGCCAGAAGCATAGAATAAAAATTAATTTAAGTAAAAATATGATTTTTTTAATTACATATTTTTATTTTATATTATCTATATTTTAAAGATGAAAAATCTATCTATATTTTAAAGATGAAAAATCCTAATGGCTGTAATTTTTTGGATTGATAATATAGTTATATTATTATCCATTTAATAAAAAAATAACTTATTAATTGTTTTAATTGCACATCTGTCAAATACTATACTTATAAATTTATAAGTGTGTCACCTACTAGATTTGATCATAATTTGATATTCAAAAGACATTTAAATCTTACTTTTATTATTAATTTAAAAAAATGATGAAAAGTTTTTTTTTTTATTTGCAAATTGCAATTCCATCCTTAATTGTAGTTGAGAGTTTTATTGCTGCAAAAAGGTCAAAATTAGGATAAAATTGACATAAAGGTCAAAATAAGGTGAAATTGCAAAAGTAAACAAAGTTTGGAATATTCTGATACATTAAACCTTAATAAATCCTTAAAAGAAAGCGATTATTCATGCCTCAAAGCTTTCTTTTAATCACCCACTGCTCTAAAAGAAAATCTCAGCATACAATATTCACTGTTATCAACTAATTATCATTAGAAATACAATAATTAGCAATTAAGCAAAACTTAGAAAACCAAATTCAAAACAAAGTTGAATGTTGTCAAACCATTTTCAGATTCATAATATATGAAACTGAACTTCACATCAGACCCATTTATTTGCTTCTCCAATTACATTTCAGAAACAAAAAGCAACTGATTAATGCTTAAACAGCCACAGGATTGACTAAAAAGGTAGCCAGAATATCCTTCATATCCTTCAGAGAAGTGTTTGGATGTGGGTATAGCGTCTTCATCCTTGTACACAACATTCCATACACTACAATGTTCAGAATGCACAGTTTAGAATAGGGTTTTGGATATCAACTTTCTTTCATCAGCTCTCGTTCAGATCCTTTCCACATTATTAGCAACTATTTATATTCAGGCTTTCGTAAAGCTATCCTGCTTTGGACCACCGACCATACCATATTGCTTCATACAACATTCTACTGCAGAAGCAACATGTCCCCTTTCTTGCTCAAACTGCATATGTATTAAAAATTGCAGAATTTAATAATTCTCTAATAGGACTTCATTAAAATTATTGTACAGGTCCAAGTTCTATCCCGTCCCCCGTTACCTAATAATCACTTATTTCCTACTCTATATGCGCCCTTAATGGGCCTTTGTACTGCATCGATTTATGAGTTTGAGTTTGAAGTCTGCTGAAATAGTAGCAGCATACTATCTGTATAAAAAAAATAGGACGGATACATATATAATAATAAATAGGGTGGATTTCAAATATGAGATGCACCTCATGTGTCTTTAAAGTGAAGTATTAAACTCTCTCAGATCAGCACCTTTGCCTTCGAAAGCGAATGGAGATTAGTTGGATTTACCGTGGATTGTAAAAATGGATACGGATATGGACAACTCATGGAAATATAAAAAGAAACATTAAAGTGAAATAGCTATGATATTACTAATTTGGCATACCTCATGGGACATAACGTCATCTATGAGCCTTGCAAGACCTGATGCAGTATATAGAAGTTTAGGTTCAGTGAATTGCCAATCAAATACTTGCTTTGAAGCAACTTCACCCATCGCACTGTTGGCTCAAGGGTCCATTTTTAATCTCGGATTTTGATGATTAATACAAAATGAATAAATTTAAAATTATGTTATTTGTGCTAATTTTATTTTATGCAGAATTTCTATTGTAAACTCATCCAATAAAATAAAACCATATTAGCAGCTTGTGTTCCACGTCAATAACTCTTAAATCAAGCTAACTAGGTTTTTTATCTCTAACCAAATAGAAAATATGAAAGAATTAACAGGAATAAGCTAGAAAAAGGCAAATTGCTAATGTGACTTTATTTCATTAGATGAGTCTATAGCTACATGGTAGTCTACCTAAAAATTTCTCCCAGACAAGGGTGGAACTAGTGATCTCAAAATTTAACTTTTATCCCCTAAATTTTATATATGTTTTTCAAAATCATAATTAGCCTATTCAATATATTCAAAATCTAGCTTTATTTTTATTTGATTCTTTCAATGTTTAAAGTCCAGTTTCGCACAATCACCACACTAAAAAAGTTGACACATCAAATTGTGTCAACTTTAAAGTGGAATATTAAACTCCCCGGGTCAGCTCATTTGTCTCCAAGGGGGAATGGAGATAGTCGGGTTTATCGTAGACTGTAAAAATGGACACGGATCTTGAAAACTCTTGGAAATATCAAGAAGACATATTAAAGTGAACTAGCTATGATAATACTAATTTGATAGAGCTAATTTGGCATACCTCATGGGACATAATGTCATCTATGAGCCTTGCAAGACCTGATGCAGTATATAGAAGTTTAGGTTCAGTGAATAGCCAATCAAATACTTGCTTTGAAGCAACTTCACCCATCGCACAAAATGATAAGGTTATCAATATGGGATAAGTAGAACTAATCACAGCATTAGGGATAAGTAGAAAACTAATCACAGCATTAGAAATAATTCTTCAACTGTTGCACATTATCACTTGTTGAACCACCTTATGCTTGCAATTAATGTAGGCTCCAACTTCTTTCATTCATCTGCCAATTTCATTGATCCTGATTAACATCCATTTAAACCTCTTTTGGTAAAATTAAATGCAGCAAAAATTTTTTTTTCAAACATTCAGTTTTGGAATGTCGTTTTCATATTTAGTGTGATAGAACAAAAAATATTCATTTATTGTTCTAAACATTGTTGAAATCAAATTTTTATAATTTTTATATCAAATACGGGACGAGCCGTACGTCCATTGTCGCAGCAAAATCATGGTTATGAACATTTCGATTTCAATACAAAATTAGAAAATCGAAAGGAAGCCAGGACAAAGAACTTAGGACCGGCCAAAACATCCTGTCGAAGATTTCTTGTCGACAACAGCTTTATCAGCTAAGCTTGTCAACATTCGTTAACGAAGTCAACAATTTCTATTTCTAATTGATTGTAAGCTATTTCAATACCGTAGTTTCTTTATAATGTTTTTTTTTATAATAGTTTTTATAAGTTGAGGGAGTTTTTTATGAAGCATTAAATACTTTAACGTTTAGCATTTAGTATTTAATTAAATTTTTTTGATAATCATACTCCTTATATTTTTTCCTCTGAATTCAACTAATTAAACAACTAACGTAATTTTTTATCATTTTAAGTTAAACAGTTATTTTACTGAATATTTCTAATTTAAACTCTTAAATAAAGAGCTAACAGCTATAAGCTAATAGCTAATCGCTACTAAAACAGCTAATATAGCCGAAGATACCCAAAATCAAAACAAATGCTGGAATTGGACCAAAACCAAAATGATCTAAGTTCTAATATTCTAGGACTGAAACTTACGATTCAGATTAATGATCAAGCAAGGGTTTAATTGTGAGCACTGCAAATTAAACTCAGGAAAAATGTAAAATAAAAATATTTTGTAATCATTTTGTTTGGTAAGAAAAGAAAGTTTGTTTGGTAAGAAAAGAAAGTTTTACCGCTTCTTTCGCATAATGAACACAGAAAGACCTTCCTTCCTTGGTTGTTTCTTCCTCTATTTCAGAATAAAAATCTAATAATGCTTGAAAATACACCTTCATGTAATCTGGAAGTTGATCTTTCATGCTAATATCCCAGCTGAAAGTCAAATTACATTGAAAAAAAAAGATTAATTATAGTTCGTAAATCTTGCTTATGAACTAATTAATTAAGGGATGTGTGCTTAATTAACAAATTAACCTTTCAATCACTTTGGTGAAAAGCTCAAGTTCTTCAAATGTGCCATGCACATCATAAATATCATCCATTACAGACAGCATAGCAACGGCTTTAGACAGTACTTTTCTAGCAAAAACGAAGTGTGGCTCAGAAAATGTTCCTAATGCCCAAAACGAACATTCGATCACTCTGTCTCGAGCTCGAATTCAGCTCTGGTCTCGGAGCAAAGGGAAGTTTTGTTGTTGAAAAATCCAAGTCTATGCCAGCCCACCTGAGAATTCACAAATTCAATTAATTTCTTTTCCTTGTTATTCTTTTCCTGTTTTGAGAAGTTTAGTGTATATATAGGCTAAAAAATGATAATTTCTCATCAAAATTATTCAGGAACCAGTAGTGCATATTAGGACAGATTCTAGTTAGTGGTTTTGTTATAATCCTTTAAAATAGTTACTTTGTGGATGCTGCTCATATCCTTCTGATGCAATATTTTGCACTATATTTGTAATCCAGTTCTAGCCAGCTTTCAACAGAGTTTCACTGTGTTCCTCGCTTTGCTGTGTAGATAGAGAAGTAATGCCAAGCCTCTTTCCTGGGTAAGCCCCTACGCACAGGCCACCTTAAGGCATGGCTAAGTTTGATTTCAGAAAGAGGAGAACTCAATTGGGGTTTGACGATAAAGGTTGAAGTGTTTTGAATTTTAGTGAACTCAAAAGAGCTTCAGTCTAGGTAGTGTTTTCTTCCTTGTATACGGAGATATGAAGCTTCATATAAGCTTAACAAACAGCCTTGCGCACATCTTTGATTTAAATATTCCTTTGAATTACCTTCTGAATCCTTGAACTTGTTAAAAAACATCTGTCCACACCGCAAACAAGTTTGAAACATTTTATAACCCTCTTACTCATAAGTATATATATTAATTTTCTTTTCTTTTGTTTTTTTTAAGGAATGGAGTAGGGGAACTTACCAGTTGAACACATTAGAACCCTCTTGTTCTTTAAGTAGCCCGAAATCGAAGAGCAACAGTAAAAGATTCGTCATCATCATTTCAGATTTTGATAAGTATATAAATCTTGTTTTAATGCTTTTCTTCTATTTGTCCTTCCAAAAAATGTAAGCAATGCCTAGTCGTTGAATTGCATCGATCAAGTTGAGTTGCTCTGAAGTTTACCAGCAAGCAGGCTAAGCATTTCCTCCACTTCTCTTTTTAAGAACTTTCGGCTTCTTCACTTCCAAACGCCTCTACTGCAGGAAAAATCTTAAGAAGCAAAATGCATACTGTTTCTAAAGAATCAAAACATGTTCATTAGTAAGTTAATTAGTAGTTTGAACATATTGAGAAAGTAAAAATAAAATTTGCCAATTGCTTTAAATTATTGTAAATTGCCAATTGCTTTACATTATTGTCCGATACATGCTTGATGAAGTAGTCACCCCACACGGATGGGTGAAACTCTGCTGTTCGACGAACCTGAGCTCTTTGCGTAGCAGCTTGAAAGGCCATTTTTTATGTTTTGTGTTTTGCAATTGGGAAGAAGCTGAAAAGATAAGTAATAGCCTCGTGAAATGAATTAGTGTTTCAAGGCTTTGACACTATATATAGATAGGGGTGTCAAAATGGGTCTGACACACGAATAAAATTCGCCTAATACGCGAAATAAACATGTTAGAATTGAGGTTAAAAAAGTTCTTGTCATAAGCGCGTCACCCATTTATAACACGAATGTAAATGTGCCGTGTCGTGGGTTTGACATGCGGATTAGGCGAATAACCCGTTTATTTAAGAGTAAAAAGGTAATTTTAGTGTCAAATATAAATAACTCAAATAACACCTATTTAAACTTTATTTTTGTATTAATTTTTTTATTTTAGTTATGAATCTTGAAAAATCTATGCATTTTACGTATTAAAAATTATTTTTAAATATGCTTTGAGTTAAATAGGTTAAAAAATATTATAAGCAGGTTAAGTATGTCAGATACAAGTCAACACGACCTACTTAACTTATTTATAAATTAGACGACTTACACATGTCGTGTTCGTGTCAGCTGCCTAATTCTTCGTGTCATGTTCGTGTCACTAAATTTGACACAGTTGTTAAATGGATCGTGTTCGTGTTGACTCTAATCATGTCTCGTGTTAGGCGAATATATGTCGAACCCGACACGCCAAACCATTTTGACACCCATTATAGAGAGAGAGTGTGAAGCTATAGCTTGGGGAGTGACAAAAAATAGTTTTGAAAAGTAATGGGAACTCATGAAAAGTTAAAATTTCTCAAGGTCTTAACACCAAATTAAATAGGAATTAGGAAAATATAATTTTATCCTTGTATAATATATAGTATCATCTTTACATATTTAGAAATACATGGTTTTGTTTGTCACTATTTTTTATCATTTTTTTTTTTTTTTTAGAAAACAATAGAAATACTATAAACTTAATGAAAGTTTGCAACATAAACAAATTGCTCTATGGAATGGGGTACCTCCTCCATCCATATTATATCATCTAAAGAATTAAAAGCTAGCCTAAAAGCTAGCCTAGAAGTCATTTATAGCTACCTATTTGTAGCTCTACAATAGTGGTACCACCTCCTATTTGTAGCTCTACCAATGTGGGTACACCTAAAATTTCCAAAGTTTTTAGTTAACATATCAGTATTTAATACCCTTGTTCCAAAGTTAAAAGTAGGAAATTGCTGAGAAGTGATATGTTGAGTCAGGCCGGGCCAACAAGAGAGAGTCTGTCTCCAAAATCAGTGAGGTCACACCCATCTTGAGAGCTGTTGAAAGTTCAAAGCTTGTTGCATCTACTTCTGCCTCTTTTGGAGCTAAAACCATACTAATAAACTGAGTATCCAAACCCAGAACTTCACCTTTCTCATCCCTAGCAACGAAACTATAGCCACTGCCCACTAACTCCCTGATCGATGTGTCTACATTCAACTTGACCTAGCCATGGGGGGCGGCTTCCATAGTTGTTCAGATTCAGTAGCTGGCGAACTTGGTTAAGACAAATTAGCTTGCTGAAAATTTGAGATGCATGCAATAGCCATTTGCGAAACCTCGACAACATATAGTCTCTCATGTTGAAATTTTACAAATTCTATACATGATAAGTGTTATTTTTATAGTATTTTTAATATAGTTTTTATTAGGATTCTTAGTAGTTTTAATTACTTTAATTAGTTTTTATTTAGTTTTATTTATGTTTTTATTCAAAAGCTTCCCTGAATCATAAGTTGCTTGATCTTCAGGAAATTTGTAGGATTTTGACATAGAAAAGAGCAAAATAAAGCAAAAACTCTCAGGCTCTAGCACGCCTTGACTGTGCAACTCAGCAGCCCGTGCTGAATTCAGGGAAAAGCAGTGTGGAGATTCAGAACCCAACACGCCCTAGCCGTGCTATCTAGCACGCCCGTGCCTCAAGATGATATCAATTCAAGGGCGTGCTCACCTGATGCTGCATCCATCATGGAGACTCAGAGCCTAGCATGCCCTAGCCATGCAACATAGCAAGCCCGTGCCATAGATTCTTCTCTAAACGTGCCTCTAAGCACAGCCCGTGCTGAATCATCCTTAGAACTCAGGCTCTAGCACACCCGTGCCGAAATTCTGGTCTTGCCTTGGGCCGAAAACGTCAGCCCATTTTGCACCACTTGCATGGACCCACATGAGATGCTTTCCTGAAGTGCCAATCAAATTTTAATCCTATTTAGACGCATGGGAGAGTCCTAATTAAGAAGAAATTCAAAGCCTAAATAGTTTTCTATCTCTAAAAAATTTCTTACTAAACAGAGACTCTATTTCCTAAACAGAGTCAGAGTTTTCCCCATGACGTCTATATAAAGAGAGATCGATTCATTTTATAGGGGATCTCTGGTTCTACCATCTTTTGTTCTATTGTTTTCTCTTTCCCTAAGACTTCAAGTGATCAAGATTTGTGTCAAGATTCAAGAAAGCCATCCAGAATTATTTGTTGACTAGTTTTCATCTCTAAACTCTTAATCTTGTTTTTACTTTTCATTATTCACAGTGATTATGGAATTATTTTCAAGTCTAATTGATTTTTATTTAATTACTATGTCGAACTAAACTCTAATACTAGAGATTTGATATAGCTTAATTTATTTTTCAATTTATAATATTAGATTTACTTTTCTTTGTTCAAAGTATAATTTATTATTAAACTTAATGTTTCCAGGCAGAGTTGATTATAAATCTAGATTGGTCCATGGCAGAGTTTCTCCCCTGGAATTGATCAAAGTATAATTTATTATTAAACTTAATGTTTCCAGGCAGAGTTTCTCCCCTGAATTGATTTATTTCATTAATCACTATCGGGAGAAGGGATTTTTACATGAAAAAGGTAATAAATTACATGAGAATAATAATTTGACGTGGAAGCTATATGGTTTGACTCATGGGAAGTTTTCAAAATTTAACAACTTTTGGTTATGAATTCATAAACAAACCATAAAACTTAATGATTTAATTGATGTTTGATTGCGCTATTGGAAGATACGTAATTAGCCCGGGTTAAAATAGCTAACATTATATCGGGAGAACTTGTCAGTGATTTTAGGGTTGTTTCCCCTACTTGAACAATTAAAATTGATTATCAAACTAATAAAATAAGTTGGACAGAATTAAGTGAACTCAAAATCCATAGTAGCTTTTAATCCTTGATTTCTTTTAATCAAAATTGTCGCTTGATTTTTTTTTATTCTCTTTTATTTATTGAAGTTAATTTCTTGAAATAATTCCCCTTATTGCCGTTTAAATAATAGTAGGTTAATATAATTTTGGTATGTGGTAAACAATTCTTGTGGAAACGATACTCTATTCATTCTATATTACTTGTTGCAATTTCGTGCACTTGCGAAAATCACTGTCAGCACACGCCATATTGCCCATATTGTCATCAAGAATAGTTCAATCTGCTCTTTTTGGAACTTACTTATAATAATTTCAATCCATTCCAAGAAACTCAAGGCCTGATACTCAGAAGTTATAAGTCTCAATGGCGAATATTTCCACACTTGCTGGGCTAAAACACAATCCTTCAGCGCATGGATAACACTCTCAATACCCAAGTCAATACCCAAGTCACAAACCTCGCAAACTACATGAATCTACAGTCCTTATCGAACTAGCGAATTGGCTAATGAAAGATGGTTTTTAGGCCCTATGGACGAAGTGCTTAATTTAGGAGGGATATTTTGCTGCCACAGATATTTCCATGGAGTAGTATTAACCGGAACAGAAAAAGAAGCGTATGATCGTGAAAAGTTATCTTCATGTAATAGTCCATAGCCACTCCAAGCTGTGTACTTACCATGCTTCAAAAAAGGCCAAGCCATGACATCTGAATCGCGCCTTAAATTGAGAAGAATAGATAAGATTTTCCTCATTTCTTCTGGAGTAACGATAGCCAAAATCAAATCCACATTCCATTGTTTAGGATTATGGAGAATAATATGACTCATAGAAGCATTCTCATTTAAAATCACAGGTGGAGAAAGAATTCTAGGCTGATTTGTATCCACAAGCCATTTATCCTTCCGAAGTCTAATAATTGACCCATCACCCACAATCCATCGACTTCCCTATTGGATCACTCTTCTTGCCTCAAATACACTTCTTTAAGAGTAACTTGGGTTATAACCCAACTTAGCTTCTAAAAAAGATGTATGCGAAGAGTACTTTGCCTTAAGCATACGGGACGATAAAGAATCAGGGTCTTCAATTATTCACCACCCTTGCTTAGCGAAAAATGCCAAATTAAAATCTCTAATGTCTTTAAAACACCACTCCATCTGTGAATTTGGACACACTCAATTTGTCACATGTACACCAATGGATTTTTCGCTGCTGACCCCACCAGAAATTTGCCATTAAGCTCTCTATCTGCCAACTTATCTCCATAGGGAGCAAGAAACAACTCATGGTATAGTTAGGGATGGCTTGAGCTACAGTTTTGATGTGCACTTCTTTTCCTGCTTTTAATAACGTCCTCTCCTTCCATCCTTTAAGTTTCTTCTCCACTCGGTTACAAATTAATTGGCATACCTATTTTTTACTTCCTCAAATCATAGCTGGTAATCCCAAATATTTGGACTGGTGCCGGACTACAGACACTCTAAGCTTGGTCTTCACCAACTCCTGCACCACAGGCAAAGTACTCCGACTGAAAGAAATTTCTGATTTGTCGAAGTTGACCTGTTGCCCTAAAGTCGTTTCATAGTCGCAATAATGGTAGCTACCACATTCACCTCACCCTCCTAAGCTCTTGCAAAAATTATGCTATCATCTGCCAAAAATAAATGAGAAAAAGAAGCTGCCCGAGGACAGATACAAACCCTTTTCATCCTCCCTTCTTACTCCACTTTTGAAATTAAACCTGAAAACACTTTAGCACAAATAACAAAGAGATATGAAGACAACAAATCTCCTTGGCAAAGACCTCTCTGCGAGTAAAATTTCTCCTTAGGCTATTCGT